AGCGAGATGAAATGTGCGCGCAGACAGGCTCAAACTCCGATCTCCAGGACGAGCCTTCAGGTTCTTATTTTTATCTCCTTCTTTCGTAGGAAATAGACAGACGGTTGGAAAAGAAGCTGAAGATCACGCAGAAGGAAAGGTAATGATGCTGCGCGGTTCGGTAAAAAACCTTGTTTTCCTGAGGTGCTGTTGGACATCTGAAGGCCAGGGGTGCGGGAACGGTGGGGAAACAGCTTCAAACTGAGCAGAGCGCGCTGGGTTTGAGTTCAGCAATAGGGAATCTCTGTAATCGTGCCACTAGATGGCCCTTTCGATCCATAGCGGGGTAGCGGAAAGCTTCTTGAGAGTGATTTTATTTCAGAGCCGGGTCTTCCAGACTGGATGTAGCTACAGCTATGGGGAAGCCATTTAAGAAAAAGACACTCAAAGGAAGAAATGGGTGAGTCAGGTAATCCCAACTTATGGCCTTAAATTGGCTTGCCGTGCCTTGCATCAGTAAGACTTTCTTTTCCTGCTTACTTTGGGTTGGGGTGGGCGTGTGTGTGTTACCGTCTTCTAGCAGAAATATTTCTAATCCCTTCTGACAAGTCTTGTGTTGTTGTTTTTGGGGTTTTTTTTCCCCTTTGATTCTTAGTAGGCCACTTAGAGTCATAATATTACTTCTCTGGGACTTCCGCACAGAGAAGGGACCATAAAAAATATTCACATGGTGAGACGGGGGCCAAGGCTGGCTCTGAGGAGTGAAATGGCAGGGTTGAAGCGGAAGGCCGGGTATCCTGGCGAGAGGAGCCCTAAAAGTCCTTGCAGGGAATGGAATCAAGGTGCTTATACCGATATCTTCGAATAGAAGTGCTAAAAGCGTTGCCCAGCGTCTGCTTCCCTTTCCTTCGGTCGAGTTTAAAGGTGTCGAATGCAGCAGGAACTGGTTTTCTGTCCCTTCTGAGCTAATCTCCCGCAAACCTGCCTGCTGCTCTAGTTTAGGGTTACAAATATAACGAGGTCTTTAATTATTACAGGCTGCCTCTTAATCACGGGAATGACATCTGACTGGGAGGAATTCACACGCAGAGCGAAAAACACGCTCACCGTAGAAAACAAGTACCAACCGAATGTTTTTCTTTTAAACAGTAGAAAGTCAAAATCTCCTCCTAAAGTGCCGATCGTGATTCAGGACGACAGCCTTCCTGCAGGTCCTCCCCCGCAGATCCGCATCTTGAAGAGGCCGACGACCAACGGCGTCCTTAGCAATCCCAACTCCGCCAGCAGACCGGCCTTCCCCGTGAAATCCTTGGCGCAAAGGGAGGCGGAGTACGCGGAAGCCAGGAAACGAATATTGGGCAGCGCGAGCCCCGAAGAAGAGCAGGAGAAACCCATTCTGGATAGGTGAGGAACCCATTCTGGATAGGTGAGGAACCCATTCTGGATAGGTGAGAGCAGCCTTTCCTGCCGCAGCAGCTTCACCTGTGCTCCTTGCAAACACCTTCCTATCTGAAGGAGGGGGACGAGCTCCTTGAAGAGTAAAGCGAGGCTGGCAAGGAGAAAGGAGTGCTTCGTTAGCAAGCAGGGCGTCATAAATCTCAGATTTCTGGGAGTTAAGGGAAGTGCAAGTGCCTGATAAGGCCACAGAGGCTCTCTTAGACCCTTGGCAGAGCGTGCTGGGGGTATAGAGAGGAGTGCGGACAACCAGAGTTATCCTGGCGGGACATTTCCTCGTCTTTCCTGAGGTTTTGACTTTAGGGAGCTGCCACCTGCGGGCGGGAGAGTGGAGGATAAGCGCTCTTAAATGAATGCGGGTTGCTTGGAGGCACCGTGCTCGCCCTTTTATTTGCAGCCTGGCTCTTCTGGATAGGTGAGGAACCCACTTAGACCCTTGGCAGAGCGTGCTGGGGGTATAGAGAGGAGTGCGGACAACCAGAGTTATCCTGGCGGGACATTTCCTCGTCTTTCCTGAGGTTTTGACTTTAGGGAGCTGCCACCTGCGGGCGGGAGAGTGGAGGATAAGCGCTCTTAAATGAATGCGGGTTGCTTGGAGGCACCGTGCTCGCCCTTTTATTTGCAGCCTGGCTCTCGGCTGCTCTTTGGGAAGAAACGAAGCGCCGGTTTGATTTTGGTCGCATTCCCCGTCCCGGGGAGCACCGCGTGGTGACTGAAGGCGAACAGCGTGACGCGGCCGTGTTGCCCTCGCCTCTCATCTCCTTTCTCCTTGCAGGCCGCCGAGGATCTCCCAGCCGGAAGACACCAGGCAGCCCAACAATGTGATCAGGCAACCCCTGGGTCCCGATGGCTCACAAGGCTTCAAACAACGCAGATAAACGCGGGGCGAGCGATGCTGCTGCGGAAGGCAGGGTCCGCCGCCACGGGTCGCGCTGCCGTGACGGACAAACGGACTTGAGCAAAGGGAACTACCTGGTTTATTTGCACTGTGATTCCCCTTTGCTCTGCCCACTGTGACCTTCAACCCCACGCACTGTGACCTCCCCTCTCCACCCACTGTGACCGGCAAACCGAGAAGGGCTGTCCCCAAGTCGCTGTTAAAGGAAAAGGGGATGAGGGGAGGGGGTTCTAAAGGACTCGGACGGGTGCAGGGAGTTGCGTGTGTGCCACTTGGGTTGAAGCTAGCGCCAGCAATAACGTTTGTTGTACTCATAGCCTGGGATTTAAGGAAAAAAAAAAAAAATGGGAAGCCTCCCCAGACGCGCGTGTTGTCCTCATCACTTTAAGAGCAAGCTCTGTTTCAAAGGATCTCTTTTCTTTTATTTTTTTTTTTTCCTGTTTGGTTTCTGTATATCAGATCAACGGAGTGCATGGGAAGGGTTTTAACTGTTTGTTTTAATTGAGAGAGGTAGTTAAGTGTTTGAAAAGCAGTTTCAATGGATTTCTGCGACTTTTACCGGCTTGGGTTTGGCAAGCTCTTGCTTCTCCTTCTCTATTTCTGCCGCTGCCAAGCACGTGGAAGCGGACTCCGGATACCTGGCCTTTCCCATCGTCGCCTTGGGAGCCGGCGGAGTCCGACGACGTGGTTTACGTCTTGCACCTGTTAAAGCTTGGCTAGCATTTTCCGCTGGCTTTGAGGAAAAGCTTAAAATACATCTTTTTTTGTTTGTTTTGTTTTTCTTTTTGTATTTGGGGAGAAGGGAACGTGGATGGATCCCATGAAAATGCCTGCTGCCCGGCCGCTGCTTGCGGCAGAGAGAGCCAGGCGGCGAAGAATTAGGGCCGCGTTGCGAAGAGGAGAATAGCCGACAGCGCTCCGGTCTGTGAAATAAATTCGTGGGGAGGAGCCCCGCTCCGTGCGGCCCGCGCTCGTCAAGCGGCTGGCGTAACGACGGGGAGCGGGATGTCCCGAGGGTCCGGACCCGAGTGGCTTAACGACATCTCGGTCGCGGTACGAGCTGCGTTCGCCTCTGGAAATGACAGACGTCGGGAACAAAAACCGGCTTGGATAAAGTCTGGATGATTCCCTCCCTCTTCCTGGCGGCAGCTGGATTCCCCGCGAGGCTTCAGGGAAGGGATTTTCCTCCTCTGGCTCCCAGGAAGAGGACAGGGAGGCTGGTGGTCCGCAAGAACACGGAACTTCGTCCCCCCGGATGAAGCTGACCTACCTTAATATCGCTTGATATCGAGGGATTAGATGAACACTAAATGCTCTTCTCGGAGGGGACGGTACCTAGAAAACCATTTCTGGTTATCGGCGGATTATTTTGTACGGGTGCGGCCTTCCCTGCTGCTTCGTGCTCAGTAGGTTCAAGGGTAAACGAGCAAATCTTGACGTCTTCTACGCGAAGGGAAGCAACCGCGCCCCCGCCGCAGGCTGGTGGTCGGGGCGAGGCCCCGGAGGGAGCGGGAGGGAGGAGGACGTCAGCAATAACTGTAGTCATCGCGCCTTTCCTTAATTATTACGAAAAATAGCTTTTAATGGCCAAAAAACCCCCAAAATCCACCTGGTTCCTGGTGTAGCTGGCCAGTGTTAAAGTTGCTGCCTCCTCCGGCACCGAAATCTCCATCTCTGGCACCGAAATCTCCATCTCTGGCACCAAAATCTCCATCTTTGGCACCGAAATCTCCCGGCTCCTCCGTCCCGGTGACCAGGATACGTCCCGCCCGCGGGCAGGGCTCGGCGGCGTTCCTGCGGGAAGCCCCTTCGCCCCGGCACGGTGGAGGATAAACACGGTACCGCGTGTTTTCGCCCCGAAACGTGCGCCGAAGAGAAAACGTTTTATAAATTGTATTTTAAATAAATGTCTTTAAACTTTTAACGACTTTTTTTTTTTTTTTTCCCTCTCCTTTATCCCCGTCTCTCGCAGGGGCTGCTGCAAGAGGGATGTTTCGGTGGCAGCTTAAACTCCCAGCAGGAGTAGATGCTTAAAAATCCGTCGGGAAGGTAAAATCTGGGAGCGTGCGGCCATAATTGTGCCGGTATTTACCCAAAAAGGGGAAATTTTCCCCCGTCTTTAGGGTCGCTGGGGAGACGTGGTCTGAGGAGGGCGGGAGGTGGCAGCGGAGGGAAGCTGTGGTTTCCAAACTCAGGCGTGAGCTGTGCTCATGCTACCTCTCATCCTGGAGGATAAAAGAAGTGATTTTTACTTTATTTATTTTTTTGCAATGCGCCGGCCTCCCCCCTCGGGTGTTGCGCTCGATAACCACCGGAGAAGGCGGGCAGAGGCTGTTGGGGTGCCTCCGGCCGAGGTGACAGGAGTCAGGGTGCACTAGCAGCTTTTAATTCTTATTTTTAATATTTTTTTTTAATGTGAAATAAGGAAAAAATGTGAGTTTTAGTGACTCGGCGTTGCTCAGTGGGGTGGAAAGGTGCTGCAGCAGCTCGCCCGGCTGGCAGCGTGCCCTGACAGGGGCCGAGGCTGGGAGCTGGCCGCAGCCGGGCGCCGTGCAGCCGGTTCCCACCAACGCGTACTGGGTTCCCGTTCT